AACAGCACGTAAAACAAAACTTTTATTCAAATTCTGAATTGATTATAGCCTAGAAAGCCAGCAAATAGCGCTTATCAATAGCGCTTTCAAATATCACTAAAAAGCTGTCACTCACTTCAATTTATCGCAATCTCGCGATGTTCCTTTATAATCAGTGAAGCTTTCTGAACTGCAAATAATATCTTATTTACATCGTGTCTATGTGTGGCATTTAGCACTGAGTGAATTCTGAATGCATGAGAGGTGGCAGCCCAATCTATTTATATTCTATGTATTTATAGTATATAAAATCTAGTTATATACTACACACGAGCATCCGGCTCCGCTCCTCCCGACCGCAGACGCAGGTTTACAAGCCAGCAAGCAATAGCCGTCATTTCAACGACTCGGTTAAGTATAGACCCGATATAGTTCGGCTATGTGTAACCCACTTCTAGCCCAAATAACCTTGAATTTGGTTTCATGTCGTTTTTTGGCAAAATAACTTGAGATGTACGATATTCCATCATGTAAGCAAAGTAACACCGTTTACAAGGTGTTTGGTTTCATTTCTTTGACATAAAACACACAACATTTACCAGAGAGCTTCTCTCTTTTTTAACACGCATTTTTTAAATTACATGAATTGCTTTATGCAATAGCAAAAATGAACATCAAGCGAATGTTGTATGATTGTATTGTATGGAGAGAAAAAAAACACTAAAAATATTTTTTCTAAAGTTGTAGGCTACATTTTTTTTATTGGAGTTTTTGGAGCATTTGCTCTGTTCACAAAAGTTTTGATTTCCCCTAAATATAAAAAATTATAGCCTAGTTATATAGGCTATTAGTTATAATCGTATTCCTATATTAAGCGTTTATGATTATTATTGATTCATTGTCTTATTCATGTAGTTGTAGCTACAGTGCCTTGCGAAAGTATTCATACCCCTTTCATTTTTTCACATTTTGTTATGTTGCTGCCTTATGCTGAACTGCTTTAAATTACTTTTTTTCCACATCAATCTACACTCCATACACCATACTGACAAAGCAAAAACAGAATTGTCACAACTTCGTAAATTTATTACAAATAAATAAACTGAAATAAGTACATTGCATAAGTATTGCACATTGCATAAGTATAACTAAATATTTAGCTGAAGCACCTTTACAGTCTAAACATGAAGATGCTTCCAAACATGCTTGGAATTGAGGTTCATCAGACCAGAGACTCTCAGAGTCTGAGAGTCCTTTAGGTGTTTTTATGCTAAATCCAAGTGTGTTTTCATGTGTCTTCACTGAGGAGAAGATTGAGTCTGGCCACTCCGACATAAAGCCCAGATCGGTGGAGTGTTGCAGTGATATTTGTCCTTCTCTAGATTTCTCCCATCTGCATATATGGTCATGGAGCTCAACTAGAGTGACCATCAGCTTTTTGGTCACCACTCTAACTAAGGTTCTTCTTCATCGATTGCTCAGTTTGGCCAGGAGGCCAGTAGGAAGAGTCCTGGTTGTTCCAAACTCCTTCCATTAAGAATAATGGAGGCTACATGCTTCTGTGAACCTTCAGTGCAGAGATTTTTTTTTAACTCTTCCCCAGATCTGTGGCTTGATACGGTCCTGTCTCTGAGCTCTACAGGCAGTTCTTTTGACCTCAGGGCTTGGTTTTTGCTCTGATATGCATTTCTTTTGACCTCAGGGCTTAGTTTTTGCTCTGATATGCATTATCAGCTGTTAGACCTTTTATTAAGATGTGTGTGCCTTTCCAAATCATACCCATTCAATTGAATTTGCCACAGGTTAACTTCAGTCGAAGTGTAGAAACATCTACATCATTTGAATGCTCTTGAGCTAAATTTCAACTGTCCCAGATGGAATCGTTTAAGTTTTTTATTTTTAATAAATTTGCAAAGATGTTAAAAACCATTTTTTTGCTTTACCATTATGGTGTATGGAGTGTAGATTGATGAGGGTAAAAAGTAATTTAAAGCAGTTTAGCTTAAGGCAGCAACTTAACAAAATGTGAAAAAAATGAAGGGGTATGAATACTTTCGCAAGGCACTGTATATTATCAAATTGTAGTCTACTTAACCCATATATAATTTAACTGCCAAATTTATATTTTGATACATTTCAGTATTTTTTGTTGTTGTTAATAAAACTGAATATTTGTATTTATTAATCAATATATTTTATATGTTTCATTTTGCTGCTGAAGCAAATTATCTATGTTATCTGTTTCCATAATGTTTGTTTGATGAATCTTTGTTAATTTTTACCCTGACAGGGCAATACAACGTTAAAAGCTCTCCACACAAAAGGTCAGTATAACACTGCAGATATTATCAAACCATAATATGTTATACCTTTTTCATTATTTTTATTATGTAAAATGTTTTGTTTTATTACTAAATTGTTATTTGATAAACTTTAAAAAAACACAATCAACCAGAACTATTGCAGTCCTTGACACCTTAGGAAGAACGTTCTTTCCAAAATAAGAAAGGATTGTCAGAAAAACTTGAAAGAACTGGGAGACCCCAAAGTTTTCTTGATTTCATCTTTTGAATTGGAGAACTATGATTTTGAAATATTTCAAAACACTCTGGAAGAAGAGCTTCCAGAACACAAGAGATCTGCTCTTCTACAAGCCTGGCCAGTGTGCTCTGCTGAATCTCTCGAGAAGAAGATCAAGATGTTTAAAGGGATGATCTGGGCTGCATCTCTCGCCTCTGCTGGTATAGCAGTCGTCCCTGTGCCTGGACTATCAGTAGCATGTGATGCAGGCATTGTGTTGCTTTTCTTCACAAGATGCTACTATGCATTTGGTTTGGATGAAAGATCACTGACAAGGCTTTCAGAAAAAGTGAACAAGCCCTTGCTGGAACATGTGGCCAAATCAAAGTTGGCATCTGCCATCCAAGAAAAAGCAGTGGCCAGATTACAAGTCTCTGTTGCACTTGCATCCCTTGCTACCCTTGAGTATGTTGCAAGTCTCCTTCCAGGTGTAGGAAGTGTTGCTGCTGCAGGAATATCCTTCGGTACTACTTATTACCTCTTGAGAGAAGGATTAAATGAACTGGCAGACATTGCTCGAAAAATCAGAAAAGAGGCTGAGCTGGACACACTATGCAGTAATTCGTAGATGTCCTAAACATGTGTTTCTTTAAGAATGCGGTCTTTGTTTGGTTTTGTTGTTTGGTTTAATTACTATAGAGCATGTATGCATTTTCTGCTTCTGTTATGGACTTAATGGCCATAGCATGTTTGTTAGATTGTGTGCTGATTATGAAGGAGATTAAAGTATCACCGTGTCTTCATACAGTACAGTATTCAAAGAATAGATTACAATGTTCATGCATGCAAGCATTTCAGAAATCACTGACACTGTATTTTATTTAATCTCATGCTGCGTGTTAAATTATGTTATACAGGCAAGCATAATCATTTTAAATTGTTCACAATTTGTGTTCATTTTCAATGCTGAAATCTGGAAAATGTTCTCAGTCTCACATAATGATGTATTTGTTTTCACATAATCACATCTTATACAATAAAAATAAAAATGTGTTTATAAACCTTTTTGTGATAAATATTTCTATATGTTCAACTACACACCCACTTTTTTATATTTCTAATAATTTTTCAACATTTTCCTCAAGGTTATTTACCTCAATATTAAAAAAAGATGAAGTTTAAAATAAGGAATAAAGCACATTGTGTTATATATAAACAGTCTCAGTTGTGAGATATAAAGTTACATTGAGAGAAATAAAGTTGCAATTACAATGAAAACTTGCAACTGTGAGATATAAATGGGAGATGTAAACTCATAATTATGTCACAGCTGTCCATGACCAAGCAAAGGAAAAAGTCATGACTTTACTGTAGTAAAGTTACTTAACCATGCAATGATTTATACATACTATAATATTTTATGTTTTTTTACAGTGAAGAATTTAAAAAGGCATAATGACTGAAGATTCTTCTGCTGACTTGGATTTCTTTGGAGCTTTGCAGAGACTGAGAGAACATGACCCAAATGCAGCTGTTGCAAAGGCTAAAGAGCAATTGGACAGTCTTGACAGTGTGACTCTGAATATTGCAGTGACTGGGGAAACAGGAGCAGGAAAGCCTGCCTTCATCAATGCATTTCGAGGTCTGAATGATGATGATGACCATTCTGCACCAACAGGAATAACCGAAACAACAACGCTAGCTACCATGTACACCCATCCCACAAAGTCAAATGTCAGACTGTGGGACCTGCCAGGGACTGGGATGCTTAATTTCAAGGCTAACAGATTCCTCAAGGAAGTGAAATTTGAAACGTATGATTTATTTATCATCATTTCCTCAGAGAGGTTCAAGGAAAATGATGTCTTTCTGGCCAAAGAGATTTAAAAAAAAGCAGAAGAGGTTTTATTTTGTCCGGACCAAGATTGATAATGACATTCGGTCAGTGGCGAAGACAAGATATTTTGATGAGCAGCAGGTACTTTGCACAGTTAGAGAGGACTGCCACAGAAACGTGAAGGAGCTAGGAAACCCCAAGGTGTTCCTGATATCCTCTTATGATTTAGGAAAATATGACTTCCATGACCTGGTAGATACCCTAGAGTCAGACCTTTCAGAATACAAGAGATTTGCTCTGGTCCAGTCTTTGCCTGTGTGCTCTCTGGCTATGCTAGAGAAGAAAAAAAGAGGTTATGGAGAAGTTTATTTGGCTTGCAGCACTGGGCTCAAGCCTGGGTGCCGTTATCCCATTCCCTTTATTATCTCTGGCCATTGACAAGATGGTTTTGTCGACCTATCTCTTAAGGTGTCATAACGTTTTGGGTTTGAATGAGCAATCACTCATCAAACTGTCAGTGAGAATGAACAAGCCTCTCTCACAGCTGAAATCACCTATAAAGTCACCTTTAGCATTAGCAGTGGTAGACAAAATGACAATTAGGCCTCGTACAGCTATGACAAACCCAGTGAAAAGATTCGAGGATCTGCTTGATGCTATTTATTGTAACCAGTTTTATGAATGCGACTGAGGCCTTCAAATCAACATACAATGTCTTGCATGGGGCACTAAATGAAATGACAAATGACACGAGACAGGTCCTTCGAGCTGCAGGTTTGGATGAATATAATCAAGCTGGTACAGCAAGAGATGTTTACCACAATTTTAACCAAAACTACATCAGAACATCAAAACTGAGTTTATTGGCCATACGTCTGGACTGGGTAACTCGCAATTGCAAAGAAATGTTATACAGAATATTGTCCAGTTATGTTCTTCATATTTTATAAATTATATAATATATTATTAAATGGAATGGAATACATAGAATATGCATTTAGAAAAAAAAAATGGGTCAAATATGTGGGAATCTGGTGGTTTATGCAAAAAATTCTGCCTAATCTTATTACCGGTATACGATTGTGTAAATTATAGGACTATTAACCTCATTGAATGTTTTACTTCTTTTAATGTATATAAGGGCTTTAGGCCAAAGGGTCAGAATCTCTTTATGTTACCTTCTACTAAACAATATACATTTTCTGTATATTCTGTAGTTTTTAATATATGTCCATTTGTTTTATGCATATTAATGAAATTACATTTACTGAAACAAATGATAATAGATGACAGTGGCAGGTGTTGACTTTCAGGGTTTACTAGTTGTATGTGTATTACTACATCCAGGCTCAAAGGGCTTTGCATTTATTATTGAAAATGTATTAGTCTAAATGTAATAAATTAAAAGATCTATTGTCATCATTTCTATTAACAAATATATATTATGATTGTCAGCCATTAGCATCACTTTTTTCATGGTGCTACCTTATGCTTACACAAATTTAGGATATATTGGCAGTTAAACTGTTTAATTGTTAGAGGCATTTCTTTAGTATTAGAAAGCAGATGGGTGTGTGAATACATGAGGAAAGAAAAAAGCCCAACCTTTTCTTTACAGGTTTATTTTTTGACATTTTATCAGCTTTATGACACATTTGCACTTTATGAAGGGTTTTAAACGGGAATTTTGTAAGGTGTGACTAAGCTGTTGTCACGATCTGCTACGGTGCGGGAACACGGAGCAAGGAACGAGGAGACCAAGAGTACAGAAACCAAGGAATTTATTAATCTTCACTGGGGAGGGAAAAAAAAAACCACACGTAGCACTGTAGACACACAATACCGGATGCTGGAGCACACACAGGGAACACCATTTATACACACAGGAGGAGGGGATGACGAGACACACCTGGGAGCAATGAAACATCATGGGAAACACCTGGGACGCAAGAGAAGCTTTGTAAGGGTGTAAATCATGTTTCAAGCGCAAGAAAATTATTCGCAGCATTTTACTGTTATTCGTAAGTGTAATTCATGTATTGTGAAACTGCAGCTTCATGCTAAAGCAA